CAACCCTGTCCCCATGACCTCCCATCTTCCTCCTTCTCCCACCACTCTGTTGCCTGGAGATGGCCCATCAATTGGTAGTCAGAAGAATCTCAGCCTTCCAGTCTGCTCATTCTTTTCTCTTTACATAACAGGTCCAGCAGAGGGCGGGAAAGGGTCAAGCCAAGGGAAAGGTCAGGATTGAATAGAAACAGTGTGAAATAGCTCATCGATGGTCTTGCTGCTGCCGACCTTTGTGCTAAGCAGTCTAGGCCACTTCAGGAAAAAAGATCAAAGACGTGTAATATGTTCAAATAAGGAATCTAAGAGTTACTGCAGCATTGCATTGTATGCCCAGTATTCTCTATTCCTCAGCTTATCACCTCAAACCGTGGGAAGCTTTTCCCCTCTGCTGTGCACTGAAGAGTTAAGAAGGTTCAAGCAGGGTGCGGTGGCACACTCCTGGAATCCCAGCTACTTGGTAGCCTGAGGCAGGGGATCACACTCTCAGGCCAGGCTGGGGCTACTTGGTGAGACCCTGTCTCAAAGCAAAAAAACAAAACAAGACAAAAACGACAAAAAAACGCTGGGGATATAATTCAGAGGTGGAGTGCTCTTTTAGGTTCAAATTTCTAGTACTGCAAAAAAAATTTTTTTCCAGTTAATTTCCAGAGGATGACAGGCCTATAAAGCATAATAGGAATATGAAAGAGAAAGTTTTAGTGCTCCCAGAGCTCTATTATGAGATGCTGGTGTGGGGGGCGGGATATACAGGGCCCAGTCAGCGCCAGGGTGGGTGGGAGTCCCCATGGTGCCCTGCCGCCCCCCTGCCACCTGAACTCCAGGCAAGTCAGCTCCTGTACCCTGTGTTGCTGCCCCCAGAGGGGAAGGAAATCCTCTTTTATTTTAGATAAAAAACACATAATTGACATCGTGCTAATACTGCTCATGTGTGAGGGGAAAGTGAGGAACGAGAGATGGTAAGTGAGAAATGAAAGATGGAGAACAGGCAGAGACACAAGAGAGAGTCTGTTCCTCAGAGCTGACAAATGAAGGCCATCTTTCTACAGGAGAGAGAGGCAGCGCAGGCTTGGGTTCTGGATTTTTATAGGGAGGCTCAGGAATCAGAGCTGGGCAGGCCCTAATATGGGTGGTAAGGGTTGTGTTGGTATGAGGGAGTGGTGAGCCTTTCTCAGAAACGCCTTTGGGCTGGAAAGTGAAACTTTTTCCTTAAAATGGCAGCTGTCACTTAAGATGGCCATGGAGATGCTAAGCAAGGACCTTATAACGCATACTTTTTTAATCCTTTCAACAGTGTTCTGAGGTAAACATGGTTATTTAATCCCCCATTTTACAAATGAACTGTAGCATAGAGAGGTTAAACAAGGTGCTTAAGGTCACAAAGCTGGTCAAGTGGTAGAAGCAGAATTTGATTTTAGAAAGTTTGGCTCTAGGGTCCACATGCTTACCTACTATTTCTTCTGAATAGTTAGGAGGCCTAATCCCTGAACCTTTTCCAGGTTCTAGACTCACCTATTGGACCAGGATCTGCAACCCTGGATCTGTAGCCATCACTGAGAGGAAACTTTCAGTTTAGAAAATGGAAGTGGAGGCGGGGCGTTGGCGCTTGCCTGTCATCCCAGCAGCTTGGGAGGCTGAGGCAGGAGGATCACGAGTTCAAAGCCAACCTCAACAATGGCAAGGCACTAAGCAACTCAGTGAGACCCCGTCTCTAAATAAAATACAAAATAGGGCTGGGATGTGGCTCAGTGGTTGAGTGCCCCTGGGTTCAATCCCCAGTACCCCACCCCACCCTACCCCAAAATAAAGAAAAAGAAAATGGAGGTGGATGGAGAACAGAAAAATCTTTTGATCTCCCATTTTGTAACTATTGTGGTCATGGGTTTTTAGGACAGGGACTGGGGGCCTTTGGAGGATCAGTAAAGTATTCCATGTCTACTTTATGCATTCTATCACCTCGATGTGGTCCAGGAAAAGAATTCTAGGAGGGGTCTGTAGACTATTGAAAGAATTGTGAAAAGATCCTCTTCTTCACCCTACTCCACAAAATCAACTTCTATACGATGGTTTTTACTGACCATATCCTTAGTCACATCCTCTCTCCACACTTTGCCTCCTCAGTGCCTCAACCAAATTAGATTCTTGTATTTCCAGTTTGTTCAAAGTAGCCATGGGAGACAAAGACCCTGGTCAGGAAGTACGTGCTTCTTTCTTACGATTTTCATTTTCTTTAGCTTTTTCTTACTTTAGATGATTTTCTTTCTGACTTTTCTCAGATCTTCCTATACTAGACTGGACCTGATGAATACATAATATTCAGAACTAAATCTCCTCTAATGGCTGTATGTGTAGGTTACAGCTCTTTAAAAAATTTGAAGGCAGAGCTGGGCACAGTGGCCTGTCTCAACAACTTAGTAAGACCCTATCTCAAAAGAAGAGGGGACTGAGTTCAATCTCTGGTACCCGCCCACGGCCCCAAACAAAAAACGGGGGTGGGGATTTGTGTGCGAAGGGCATAGCTCAATGGTTGACCACCCCTGAGTTCACTCACTGCTGAAACAAATAAACAGCATGTGAGAGAACATGGGAAGAGCCCATAACCACCCATTCCAATGCTGGGCTGACACCCAGGGAAGTGTACAAGTTACCCCCTGCAGAAAACGTCCTGGCTGAGGTAGAGATTGTACAGAGAAGGCCAAAGGAAGTAGAGAGGGGCCTTTGTGCTGTAAGGGAGGGAGGGTTTCCTCTAAGGGAGCAGTTCTAGCTACTTCCTTCCTCAGATTTTGCTGTGCTGCTGAATATAGAGTCACTAGTCACATGAAGCTATATTGAAAAAAATTAAAATTCAGATCATCACCACAGTAGCCACATTTCAGAGTTCAATTGCCACGTGTGGCTAGTGGCTATACTGGACAACACAGATGCAGAACGTGTCCATCATATAGATAATTTTTTAAGACAGTGCTGAATTAGGGATTTTAGGGTATCAGGAGGAGATGCATATGTTCTGGCCCTTTCAGGACCCAATCTCTAAGAGGCCTTGGGTGTAGATTGTCTCTCTTCTCCCTGCCTGTAGCCAGACTGTGTGCACAAGCTGCTTGTCTGCACCAGTAGCCAGACTGTGTGCACAGGCTGCTTGTCTGCACCAGTAGCCAGACTGTGTGCACAGGCTGCTTGTCTGCACCAGTAGCCAGACTGTGTGCACAGGCTGCTTCTCTGCACCAGTAGCCAGACTGTGTGCACAGGCTGCTTCTCTGCACCAGTAGCCAGACTGTGTGCACAAGCCGCTTGCCTAGAGCGCCTGGGCCTCTTTATCTCTTTGTCTTGCTCTCTGGTCGGCTCTAGTCCTTGCTCCACCCTCCTAGTCCCTGGAAAACAAGCTGCAGAAAAAACTTTTCCATCAACTTTGACCTAGTTTCCTGATCACAGATTCAAAAGGGGAGGAGCCACTAAATTTTTAAACAGGTGAAAAAGAGGGGGAGGAGTTCAGGTGAGAGTCACCCTGACAACAGGGAGAGCTCTAGATTGACACAATGGTAATGAAAAACAGATGGCTAGCCAGGAAAGGTGGCATTCATCTGCAAACCCAGATTCAGGAGGCTATGTCAGGAGGACTGAAAGTTCAAGCCAGCCTTCAGAGAGACCGGACACACACATACACAAAATAGGGCTGGGGTATAGCTCAGTGGTAAAGCATCCTTAGTTCAATCCTGTTTCAAAAGGAGGGAGCAAGCCAAGAGAAGAAAGCAAAAGAGCTATGGAGAATGAAAGATTAAAAAAAAAAAAAAGATTGAAGTGAAAAAAATATTTTTTCAATTTCATTTTCTATTCAATTCACATTATTTTTAATACCTTTTAAAAATATTTATTTTAGTTGGACCTAATACCTCTATTTCGTTTATTTATTTTTACGTGGTGCTGAGGATCAAATCCAGAGCCCTGCATGTAGAAGGTGAGTATTCTACCGCTGAGCCACAACCCCAACCCCAATAGCTTTATATATATATATATATATATATATATATATATATATATATATATTTTTTTTTAGTTGTAGTTGGACACATATCTTTACTTACTTATTTTTATGTGGTGCTAAGGATTGAACGCCACAACCCAGCCCCTGATTTTAATACAGAACTTCTAGGAACCTCTTTGGAATTGGTGTGTGGAGATCCAAAGAAAAGCCAACCCCCAAGTATGGACCAAGACTGAATCTGGGGCTGTGTATAAATAACTAAAAAAACATTTAAAAAATGAATCTGTCTTAAGATTTAAATGAACCAAAAAATCAGAAAGTACTGTGTATTGACCTCTGCCATCTCAGTTTCTCACCTGTTACTCCTTTGAGAATAATAAAAATCATTTCAATTAGTGGTGAAATTTAATCTATTATTAAAAATATGTGAAATAAATAGGGATTACTGAAACATTCTAAGGGTGGGGTTAAAATTTAGCAAACACTTTCTGAGTTATGAGTATGTGCTTGGATAAGAACTGTGCTAGCAACTAGAAATTTAAAAAAAAAAAAAAAAAGCTGCTTCCAAAGAGTGTGATACTCATAGGTCTTAAACTCTCAAGTTCTGAATAAAGGTTCTTCTTTATGAGCATGTAAACTACATTTATACTGGGAAGAACTTCTGTCATGCAAAGTAAATTATGAAAAAGCGAACCTCATCCCTTCCCTTTCAAATCCCCTCTCTGTTTAAAATTCATGTACTCCAAAAGTGGAGGAATTTTATGGTTACCTATGGATGTGAAAAACTAGCCTAGATAACTAGAAGATTCCACTGCAATTCTTTAGTGAATTGGAAAACAGACTAAACTAGCTCAAATCCCTTCCTGCTTCCCTCCTACCTGTACTCTGTTTTTTAGAATAGGGAGTGTTCTTTCCACGATGTTTTTAGTAGTATGAATTGTGAGGAAGAGAAGTTTCTTTAGGAATACCTTGTTTCTAACAACTTTCCAATGCCACCTCAACAGACAAGAGACAAGAAAAAAACTGCAATTAAAAACTTTATTTTTTTTTTAAACAAAGAATACCCCCTCTGGGGTGAAAATATATCTGGTTAAGTACAAAATATAGTTTTTATCATACAAAAAGATACACAATTAAAATACAAAAAACTGAAATCACCTTTAGCCCACATAGTTTCTGGCTGCAGTAATTCTCAGAAGAGGGTGGAGCTCAGTGCTCTGACACAGGACAGCTGGACAAAGTGCTGTGGCTGAGGGTGACTGGCCAAGTGCTAGTGGCTGCAGTGAGAGGGGCTGACTTCCCTTCCTCCTAAGGCTGGGCGGAAGGACTTGCCAGAGCCTCTCATGGCAGTGTTAGGAGACTCTGATCACAGTCCTGAGGCTTCTAGATGCAGAGTCCCTCCAAGTTTAGTCACAGTGAGCAAGGCCGAGAGCAGCAACTCATTCATACAATTAGAGTGTCAGAATCACGTAATTCCAAACACTGGGACAAAGTCTCAAAAGTAATAATACTAACACTTTTTTTGAGTGTGTTATTATGCTTACCCCTAAAGACATAGTAGACCAGTAGCTTACATTTGAGAGAGAGAGAGAAAACAAACAAAAACAAAACCTGACAGGAACTAAAGTGCTAAGAACATCACCTCAGAATCAATTCCAAGGAGTCGTATAAAAAGAAAAACAGATTCTCCTGCATGAATACATTTCAACAGGAGAACACCAGTGCAACAGGCTCTAACAATGGCTTTTAAGACCTTTGGTGGGGCACAGTTACTACTGCTTTAAGCAAAGTTAAAGTTCATTTTAAGCAAAGACACCTCAAAGCAGTTTTCCTATAATTCATGGGGAGGAAGCACCTCTCTGAAACCCAAACCAATTCAGCCCTGGAGAGTTTTTCGTTTATAAGGGTACAAAACAGAGAATACCAGTTTTAAGAACTTTCTTTTCCCCAAGTTTTGGCCATGGTTTCCCTTTTCCTAGTGTGCTAAATTGGCTCTGGTTCCATGTGGAACAGCAGTTCAAGATTTGAAGTTGTTATAAATCTGTAACTCCCTTCGATAAACCTTGGGAAGACCATACCATAAGGCCATTTCTATCTCGAAACTCAAAACTACTGAAAATGCCTCAGTTTTCAAGGAGATCTGAAAAATCGGATGGGCCTGAATTTTTCCAGACCCATCTAGCAAACACTCCCATATCACAACATTGGCGCTGGTGGAGGACGAGTTTGCACCATTTGAGGCCTGAAGATTGCCTGCTGATCACCTCCTACTTTGGGGAGTCAGAGGCTGGGGTGGATCCACACCTCACTGTGGAGACTATTTAGTCTCTAAAAAAGTGAGAGTCCAGGAAGAGAGGTGGAAAGAAACAAGTAGGTCCCGCTGCTTCTTTTCTCCCACATGCTCACTGCACATTGTTGTTGAGGATGCAAGGATCCACCTGAGAGGAAGAAAGAAGAGACTATTTTAATTTGGGTAAGAACTAGAGCAAGAATCTATTTAGCAATCTCTCCAAGTCAACTTCCTATGGAAGGCTTAGGACAAATGTTAACAGTAAAAATGACAATTCTCACCTCAGTGTATGTGGGTGGTGGCATGAACTGGAACTCAGGAGCATACATAAAGATAGGGCTGTCTTGAGAGCCATCTACATCATCTAGCAGAGGAGTTGTAGGGCTCTCCAATCTGTGATCTTCAGGAATGATATCCATGTAGCAAGGAGGAGCTATAAAGAGAAAATAGGGGAATAAGAAGCCTAGCCAAGAAATGCCATATCATCACAAACTTACAAGGCCAGAGGGAAGAAAAGACATCAGGTCTGGCTCACCTTCTGGGGTATCAGGGATGTTTAAATCAACCCAACTCATTTCAGAGCTGGTTTGGCTGGCCATGCTCGATGTCCTGCTGCTTAGACCTGACCTGCTGCCGATTACCAGGGGTAGGTCAAGGATGACTTTCTTGGAGCCTGGTACACTAACATAGATCTAGAAAGAAAGATGACAGTATGTTAGATGAGAAGTCTGGAGAGAACACCACTGTTGTGACAGATGAGCAATTACCGTGGCAGAGCTACCCCCGACCCACTCACCAGTAAGAAATATTCAACTCGAAGGATGTTGCAGCCCAGGATGGATGGCCTGATCTTTTGCACCCGAAGGCTCTTGCCACGCCATGATGCACATGCTCCTGAGATAATATGATTGCCTCTGACCGATGACAACTTCTGAGTCAGCACCTTGGTCTGGCCATTAGCAAGGTAAGTGTGGCGGGCCACAATGGCCGCTTTGGGGACTACAATGCGGGAACAAGTATTCTCAAAGTCAGCATGGATGGAAATGTCATCACCTAGCAATGAAAAAGACAAAAACATATTAATTGATACTCAGTTCAGTTAATGATATCTCCTCCTTTGCCCCATCCCAAGTTCTCAGACCCAAACCCATATTTCTTGTTATATTTGTCCACCATTTTAAAATTAGGTTTTTACCTTCACAGAATCCTTTTCTGTCAATTCGAGCAGAAACAGACACTCGCCCATCAGGAATGAACATGCAGGAAACTTTTTTCTCCTTTTTAGCAGATACGGGTGCCTATGTACAAAGGGAAAAAGTGTTTTGAAGTGGTTCAATGTAATGCCTAAGATACCTAATTTACCATCCTGTGACCAAGGAGAATAGAATATTAAAAATGAACCTCACCATTAAATCAGGGGTATTGACATCCACTAGATCCATCACTTCAAAGTTTTTCTTCGTCTCTTGAGTTGGCTGGCTGGGGCGATCAAGAAAAGCCTTCACCCAGTAGTCTACACAACCATATTTTCCTTTGAAAGATGTCCCCAGAGGCCTATGTCAAAACAAAACAAAAAAAGGAAACAATTTTAAAATGCTCTCCAAGAACAGTAAGTGATCACAAGATTTTTTTTTTTTTTTTTTTTTTTTTTAAGACATGGAGAGTCCAAAATGCATTTAACTGATACCTACCCTTGAGGAAGCTCAAAGCCGAATTTGTACTCATATTTGTTCCCAGGTCTCATGATCACCATCTCATTCTCACCTGAAGAAAGAGAAAGAAAGCAAAGTTCCATTAGGTTTCTTGTTACACTTAAAAAGCGTTTGTGTGATGAGGAATGCTTGGGCAGCATGCAAGGATATTTTAAACACCCCCATTTTCATCCCTTACAATCTTAAGTGAAAGATTCTGATGCATTTTCTTGCAAAGAAAGTTGCAAAGCTCTGCAGTGCTGAAAGGCTCACCCAGGATGGTTACCCCAGGAATCAAAGAATGAACAATCTATGTATTCAGATCCCTCAAGATCATCTTTAGGACCCAACACGTAAGAGATTGTACAGATCACCCCTTTTGGAGGGTAGGAACACGTTTGCAAATTGAAACTTAAACAGAAAAAGCAATACTTAATTCAAACCACTCAAACTGAGCAACTTAAAAATTTTAATATGAATTCCTTTGCAATCTCTAATCAGCTTTCACCCTCCAACAAAGAACTGGGCCATCTACCTGTGGGCTGGTCTTCCAAGAGAAGTGTGTCTTCGTAGCGGAGGTAGTCCAAGGTCTGTTTGCATTGCTGGGATCCCTGCATCCAGAGGACTTTTGCCACTCCGCAAGCCAGGATCCGGACGGCTTTGACTCGAGTCACTTCACACACTTCCACCGTCACCCGGCCAGTCACCTTCTCCCCACTGCCGTACACTTTTTCAGGGTCGTTAAAGAGCACTTCAAAAGACTTGATCTTCTTGAACATCACCATGATTGGGCTGAGTTGGCTCAAGTGTCAAAAACGAAGGGAAGAGGGAAGAAAAAAAAAAAAAAAAAACAGAAGACCCTAAATCCAATAGGGCACTTTACAGGAAACTTCAGTCTTCCTAAGGAATGGGGGTGTCCTTAGCAGGTTGGGCTTTAAAAACAAAATTTAAAGAAGCCCACAAAGGGATTTTTAAGTTCTCGAAAAGGTGCCTAAAATTTTCAAGTTGCTGGCAGTGCCAACTCCTTCCTTCCTTTCCTCCAGCGGCCGAGGAGGAGCTCCCGAGCGCGGCAGGAGGCTGAAGCGAGCCCACTGGGAACGCAGAAGAGAGTTCGCCGCCCGAGCCGGAAACGGCTTTATATAGGGGCGCGAGCCCGCGGGGCCACGCGAGCGCGAGCCCGGAGGCTCGTGCTGCCCTCGTGCACAGCCCTCCCATTGGCTGCCTGCTCCTTGTTTACCGGGAGCTCGGCCAATCAGCCAAGCCCGGCGGCGCGTGGACACGGTGTGCTGCTGCGGGGGGAGCGGTGGTGGGGCGAGTGCGCCGCCCGCGGGGGCGGGGGAAGCCGGCTCAGGAGCCGCGCGGCCCTCGGGGCGCCGGGGCTCGGGGCGCTGTTCCTGTTTCTCCAGGTAAAGGAGAGTGTGCCTGTGAGAGGCGGCCGCTGGTGCCCGGCTCGCCCACCCTGGCTCCCGGAGCACGGGGAGGCCGGTCCCCAGGAGGCCTGCCGCACCTGAGCCCCTCCGCCCCCCCCCCCCAGAACCGAGGGACGGAAACGGCCAGGAGCGCCCACATCCTGTTGTCCCCGCGTCTGCCTGAGAAGTCGGGGACACGGTGTCCCCCGCTTGGCCCAGGGCCTCCCTCCTGCTTCTCCAGGAAGGAAAGAGAAGGGGTTTCATGAGGGCAAGGAAGCCTCGCCCGTGCCTCTGTCCCCCTGCCTTCCTCCCCTTCCCCGCCCGCTACGGCGAGTGTGCGGTGGCCAGTGTGCGCGTGTCCCGCCCTCTCAGCCTTCAGGTTGCTTCTCCTGGTGGTCACTGAGGTCTCCTGGGAAACACGCCGTACACCTGTGTGAAGGGACAGTCTCCCCACGCCCGCCCCCGCCCCCCAAGCTGATCCGAACCCCCACAGGAAAGAGCAGGTAGGGTCACAGAGCACTGTTCGAGCCGAAAGGGACCCTGCTCCTGAGTGGGCTTCACCCAAGCAACTGCTGACGCTGGTGCCCTAGGAGCTGACTGCCGAGAATGTTTCCTAAATGTAGTAAGGAAACCGGTCCGAATCCCCCTTTCTCCTCTCCCTCGCTCTTTCCCCCTTTCCTTTTCACAGTGCTGGGGTGGAACCCAGGGCTTCGGCGCATGAAGGCTGAACACGTTGCTGCTGAGGCCCATGCCCACCTCAGCAATTTTGTGTTCTAGCTTTCAGCTACTAGGGACTGAAATGGGGGTAGGGAAAGTGTTTACCATGGGGCTACATCCCCAACCCCGACGTTTTTGTTTTTGTTTTGTTTTGAGTCAGGGTATCAAGGCCAAGTTGCCCACACGGGCTTTAACCTTGTGATTCGGCTGTCTCAGCCTCCCGAGTAATTGGGATTGCAGGTGTGTACAGCCACACTGGCTCTAACTCACTTGGCTTTAATTCCTAGATTCTTTCCTTATCTGTACTGGGTCGTCAGGAGGTTATTACCCCATTCCTTTTGCTGTCCCTACACTTGAGATGGTGACGTAAATAAAAAGTACTTAAAAGTTCTACCTTCTCAGCGGAAAAAAAAAGGCTATTCATTGCTATTAAGAATCCCTCTTCCTTCCTCATACACCCTACCAGGGTTGATAGCCTAAGGCTCACAAGTTACAACTCAACCCTAATATTAAGCAAGCTCAGAATCTGTTGGAAAACACATGCAGCACCCAATTCCAGGAATATGTTGACCCATGGTATGGGTTGGTGGTGGCACCTTGTTCTAGACAGTTAACCAGCAAGGCTTGAGGTATTTTCAGTTGATAAACAATATTGATTATTATGAGCAGGAAAGGTAGGGCTCTCACTAAAGTGATTTTATTTGTTTATTTATATAGATATTGGGGATTAAATTCAGGGGCTGTCTTCTACTGAACTATATCTCCAGCCCTTTTTATTTTCCATTTTGAGACAGGGTCTCATTAAATTGCCCAGGCTGTCCTTGCATTTAGGATCCTCCTGCCTCAGCTTCCTAAATTGCTGGGATTACAGGTATACACTACTATGTAACTTTGGAGGGAAGGTAGCTAGTAATAGATTAGAGTGGTTTTGATTGAGACATCTTAAAAGGGGAAAAAAACCTGATGTTTATTTATTTGGGGACATCTATGAAGTAGTGAATTTTTGAGTTTCTAAAAATCCTTTAACAGTTCTCTCCTAAGTTTCTACTTTGGGTCCTAGTTTTTTCTTATGTTCCCATTTTATGGAGCTCAGTGTAGACCACTTGTTTGCTCTGTGTTATGCCTGGGTTTCCTTGGATGCCAAAAAACTGTTTATCTTTGGCAGCAGCAGCTGCCTGCCTACCAGGCCTGTAGCCAAGGCATGTTCTGAAATAGAGGCCTACTGGATATAGTTGTTTATAACCTTTCACCTTATAACCTGGTATTCTGATAGAAATCTGTCTCCTAATTCTTCGTTTTCAGTTTTTGAGTCAAAGAAAAATATCTTGTAAATTCCTATCTTAAAGACAGGGTACGAACACTAGAGTTTGAAGAAAAGGACAGACCCAGGAGGAACAGAAAAGTAGGGCTCAGTCCATAGTTTTTAAAGTTAGGTCATATTTTACCTGCCCCTTCCTCACCCTCTTTATCCCAGTGCCAATAGGGAACTAAGTGGTGACTGTCATTCGTTGGCTTTACTGTAGATGACAGAGCCAAAGTTTTCAGGGAGGATAGTGCCTGTTGGCAGATAGAAACAAAGCCGTGATTGCCTTCTCTTCTCTTTAACCTCTGGCCTGACAAACATTTAGGACTCTAAAGACTGAGTTCCCAAAGCAAAAGAAATCCCTTCCTTTGTCCTTTTAATCACTTCTGTCACCTCCACTCCTAAACTTTTCTTTACCCTTACACACTTTCAAGTAAGTTTTGAATGAGAATGTGGGATTGAAAATTATAACTGTGTATATGGCCCCAAATCATAGATAAATAAGAATACACTAATAATTGTACAGCATCTTAGAGTTAAAAGTGACTTTAAGTAATTGTCATTTTTGAGCACCAATAAAGAACCCAGTTCTTTATCTATGTCAATATTATTTATAAATTATTTATCATTTTGTTCCAGAAAATATTTAAGGTTAGGTTATTTCATTTAACTCTCACAATAACCCTGTGACTCCGTATAAATTTATTCAGGCTCAGAATGGTGAAGTAATTTGCCTGGGGTCACAGATTTTGTAAGTAGAGTAAGATCTTGAACCCAGGTCTGTTCAGTTAAAGTATGTTCTATGTTCCTTTTTTTTTTTTTTTAAATATTTTTTTAGTTGTCGATGGATCTTTATTTTATGCAGTGCTGAGAATTGAATCCAGTATCTCACACATGCTAGGCAAGTGCTCCACCACTGAGCTACAACCCCAACCTCATCTATGTTCTTTTTAATGTGTTGTCCTGGCTCTCAGTGGTTTGACATGTAGTATCTTGTTTGATCTTCATATGGTTTTATAAAGGATTCAGGGCAAGACTCAGAGAATGGGGATTTTAGTAGATTGTTTTTGTTTTTAAAATCATTTCCCTTATTTTGGTTAAGTAACTTGTTTTAGGATACAGCTAGCATCTGGTGGAGCTACTCTTCAAACCCAGGATTGATTTTTTTTATTTTTATTTTTTGAGTACCAGGGATTAGACTCGGGGGCACTTTACCACTGAGCCACATCTCCAGTCCTATTTTGTATTTTATTTAGAGACAGTATCTCAGTGAGTTGCTTAGCACCTCCGTGTTGCTAAGGCTGGCTTTGAACTTGAGATCCTCCTGCCTCAGCCTCCTAAGCGATTGGGATTACAGGTGTGTACCACCATGCCAGCCTGGATTCTTAGTACTAGAATTCTTGTCTCTAGGATGCCTTGTGAGTGCTCTTTGATGTTTAAATTTATCTTTAATTATAGTAGTCCCCCTTATTCAGGGGGAATATATTCCAGTACCCAAGTGGATGCCAAACTAGATCATACTGAACCCCATATATATTGTTTTTTCTTATACATACCTATGATAAAGTTTAATAAAAAAATTAGGTAAAGTAAGAGATTAACAATAATCATACATAGAACAATTAGAATGATAATATACTGTGACAAAAGTTACATGAAAGTGATATTTCTCTGTTTCAAAATACCTTATGGTGCTGGCACTCACCATTCTTGTAATGATGAGATGATACAATGCTTAAATGATTGAGAAGAAGGGGGGTGAATGACAGAGGCACAATAACCACAGCATTAGGCTACTATTGACCAGTGACTGTACTTATTTCAGACCACAGCATGGTTGTTGGTGGGTAACTGAAATTAGGACTAGTAATGCAGGTCTATTGTATTAAAAATACCTCATTTGGAAGTCCACATTTCAGATTTAATTGAGGTTCTTTTGGGTTGTGTGGGGCAGGGGACAATGGTTGAATTCAGGGTTGCTTTCCACAGATCTATATCTTCAGAAGAGTCTGTTTTTTATTTTGAGAAAAGTTCTTGCTAAGTTACTGAGGCTAGCTTTGAACTTGGGCACCTCCTGCCTCAGCTTCAGAGGCTGGGATTACAGGCATATGAGATGGTGTCAACTATTGTCAAATTTCTACGAGAATAACCTATACCAGCTTTCTCTGTTGACTAAACTTATTTTTTATACTCTGGCTTCTGTTACCCCTAAAATGTTTTCTCCAAACTTTGGAGTTTTTTTTTTTTTTTTTTTTTTTGCCTTGTTCTCTTTTACTCCTGTATAATTTGAAAACTACCATCTTTTAAAAATTTAGACAGACATCTTTGCTTTTGTACTTCATGCTTTCCTTCTGTGCTAGCAGTTTTCTCCTTCCTCTTCTACTCTTCCTCCTTCCTCTCCCTCCTTCACCTCGTCCTCCTCCTCCTAGCTTTTCTCAAGGGCTTCTCCTTAGCCCTCCCCTTTTCTTTTTTTTTAAGTTTTACTCTTCATTTTACCCATCACTGTGTATAAATAACATTAAAATATGTACTATAGCCTGTTTCCAAAGTTCCAGCTAGCATCTCAAATTCAATGTGTCCAGTAATTAATTCACAAATATTTCCCCTGTCCTCAAACTCATTTCTTTTCCTTTAAGAAAAAAAAATAGAATTCCCCTAGTCATCAAGTTAAAATCCAGAAATTGCCTTTGATTGCATCCTCTTTGATATTTGCCCACCCAATCAACTGCCAATTTCTTTCTTTTTTTTTTAAGAGAGAGAGAGAGAGAGAGAATTTTTTTTAATATTTATTTTTTATTTTTCGGCGTACACACATCTTTGTTTGTATGTGGTGCTGAGGATTGAACCTGGGCCGTACATGCCAGCTGAGTGCCCTATCGCTTGAGCCACATCCCCAGCCCCCAATTTCTTGTAGAGGAGGTCTTTCTAGGATCTATCTCGTGTTTCTTATTCCACAACCACTACTTTTTATTACTTTTGCTTAGATTATCTTTTGTTTTCTTTTTGATACCAAGAATTTAACCCAGGAGCTCTCAACCACTGAGCCACATCCCCAGCCCTTTTTATTAATTTAATTTTTTATTTTGAGACAAGGTCTGAGTTGCTTAGGACCTCACTAAATTGCTGAGGTTGGCTTTGAACTTGTGATCCTCTTGCCTCAGCCTCCCAGACTGTTGGGATTATAGGCATGTACCACTGTGCCCACCTCTAGGTTACCTTAATAGCTTTTGACTAATCTTTCTGTTATAATCTATAGATTCTACCTAGATTAGTCTAACACAATTTTATTCCTGTCTGCTCCTGTGATACCACAAAATCCCTTACTTACTGAATCCTATTCAAATGCTTCAACCTGGCACTTAAAGCCTTCACAAAATGACCTCAACCAAAATTTCCAGCCTCATTTTCTACTACTTCCTCATGTATGTACCCTATACCTCAGCCAAACCTGAGTACTGAGTATTCCCCTAATATATCCTTCTC